TGCATTATTACTATAATTTAATAATGTAATGGTTAAGAAAAAACTAATGGTCTCAAGCACTTGTTTAACCTACATCTCACAGATTTTTCAAGATTTTGCATTACAATGAACTTATGAATCCCAGTTTCTAATTGTAAGAATCAAAGTCCGCTAGTCGATATAAATACGATAAAATCCAGCTATGCTTGTTTAAGCTTTTAAATTGAAACATTATGTGTTCAATTAATTAAACATTATGTTTTAAATTAATTAAAATTTCAAATACTTTGCGTGGGCTGCAGCAAATTGTTTTAGATGACTCGTTACTGAGGGAATGTCTATATTCTTAAGCTATATCAGATGGTATAAATTAGCAGGCAACAGGATTATACAAGAACAAGTTGATTATTGTTGAGCATAAAAACTGTTTTAGGAATTTATAACAGGATCTCCAAAAATATACAGGGTGTCCCGCATAAGAACCGACACAAAGCAGTTGCATGCCCAAAATATTGTAATTTAACCAAACTTAACCTATATACAAAGTTGCACCTCTGAGGAGTTAGGAGGAAAAAAAAATCTCTGCAACACTTTACCGCAGAAGAACCAAATTTGGTATATGATTTAGGTTTATTACTAGTCTTCTTGACTATGATTTAAAGTTAATTGAAGCACCACAAGGTGTTCATTAGGAATGACTCACCCCTAAAATTATACCGAACTTTTTTTTTATTGACTGAATTGATTGAAAAATAGTAATATTAATTCACAAAAGAATTTAATTTAAAAATTTTTTTACTCTTGTTAATTTTAAGAAACTTTATGGTTTTCAAGAAAAAACGTATTAACTGACAAGATTTTAACAGTGTTCATTAGAAAATAACCAAAAAGTCAGTAGTAGGCAATGAATTTATATTTCAAACTTGTCAGTTAGTAATAAAGTTATTTTATTTCAACTATTGCTTCTGATTGTTGTTGAAAATGGCTGGAAAATTTACATTTAGCGAACAAGTTGATATGCTACTTGTGCTGGGTTTCTGGGAAGGAAACTGTAGAAGAAGTGTGGAAGAATATCGTAGGATATCCTTATAGAGAAACATTTTCTAATGTTAAAAAACGAGCTCGAGAGGCAAGAAAGTTTTTCAACTACTTCCCAGAACGTCCTAATGTAATAGGGGTACAAGATGAAGAAATTATTTTTCAAACAATTGAAGATGCTCCGCAAGTAAATACTAGACGTTTATCTCGACAGAGTTATCAAGATCTTTTGTAAACCGAATTCTTAATTGTAATCTACTGCATCCATATCGTGTTCAAAAAGTGCAAGTATTGTTGCCTCAAGGTAATATGGCTTGAAAGGAAATTTCAATCTGCATACGACAGAGTAAAAAAATACAGGGTGTTACATTTAAGTTAACAAAGTTATAGCTGTTTGAAGTTACCAAAATGTAACAGTAAAAATGAAACACCTAGTATTAAATGTTTTAATTTAAATGGACAAGGTCAACGGCGGCATTTGTGCCTTATCAAAGGAGTGTCGCATATGGGTTACATATATGCTTGAACTGTCGACTGTCACGCTGGGTCTTTTTTGCGTTGGCACAAATAGCGCAAAATTCAAATCTTGCGTGGATTTTGGACACCCGATAGAACATGCAAAAATGTTTTCGACAAATAAATTATTTTATTGCACTTCTGTTGAAAGGTCTGTCATTTTTGCAACTAATACAATTATTTTCAATAAGAATTCTAGGCAACTTGCAACTTTTCGATGTGGTAGACAGTAAATTAGTAGCGACAAGGACATTGTTTAAGACTGCTTCTTTCGCTGGCTCTTCAAGCGAAATTAGATTTGATTTTGCATATCGATATTCATCTGCAAGTATAGTTGCAGATGATCATCTAAAACAATGACTCGTATGCTCCTGTGGATTGCGTAACTCGGGGCATCTAACTTGAAATTTTTCTTAGGTACTAATACAGGTGAACATAATACTTTCCATTTCGGTAGCTAACAAGCAGTCAGTCATGTGTGTGTTGGTGACTTAAGCGTAGCGAATTTTTTTTTTATAGATTTCAACCATATATTTCAAGTCTCTCGTTTCGTCGTCAACAATAAAAGTTCGAGGTTTATTGGTTTTTGACTTTGGAATTTTCACTATCAACATATTGCCAATATCTTTCGCATTATCAATACTAATTTTATGAAACACATCTCTGCTGCAATGTCAAGAATTGCAACAACATAAAATTAGAAAATATCTACTATTAGTCTCTCCAATCAAAGGAATTATTGCATTAAAATTGTATCCATCATTAAATCTACAAGGTGTCCCAGTATTGGTTGGAGAAAATGGAATGGTGGACTCCTTGTTCAGTTTTTTTGGGGAAAAAGTTCCCATGAACTAAAGATCTTCTAACTAGCTTAGTTTTCTGTATACCTAAGGGATATTAAAGTTTTAAAAAAAAATATCAGACAAAACATTAATATCAATATTTTCAAGGATGTCGCAGACTAGATAGTATGGCCCCACTGTGAGGATACAAACATTTTAATAAAATTTAAAACACGTGGTGTTAAATGGGATGAGGTAAGCTCCATTTTCAATCGTAAGTATTATCTTTGGGATTTAACAGAAACGACTAATGACGTCATCAATTATATTTTTCACAGAAACATACCTAAATTTTTTCCCTGTTAAAAACCTCTATTTTTTCTTTTATTAGAGAAAGTTATAAGTAATATCGTCCTAAATAGTCTTAAAATAAATACCACCTAAAAATCACAAAAGTGGTGGAAGGATCAAATAGTCGTTGGAAAATAATTGAATGTTCGTTGTTTAAAGTGCATAAATGTCATTAAGAATAAATAAAAGGATTAAACTCGATAATTATTTAATACAGTTAAAACAAAAGGTGATGATAACAATAACTAAACTTAAAAAATGAGGCAAACGCTCATACTACATATACTGGGTGATTCAGTCATAATGTCATTAATTTTAACCACTTATTCGGAAGGCTTAATAAAGACAGAAAATCGGAAAAAACAATTTTTTACTCGACTTTTAAAAATGAAGGTAATCAACCCATAACTCCCGCTACGAGGGCGGCCCTACCAGATGCCCGGATGCTCGGAGAATTTTGTAACGTAATGTCACAAATCAGTCATCAGCTGAAACGAACAGCGTTGCCAAGTTCACATCATAATGTGTGGTTCACATTTACTGTGGGTTCCACGTTCCGCGTTAAACGTATGCAAGTAAATAAAGGAGCATGCTGCATTTTATTATAAATAATTTTAGCAATTGTATTAGCTTAGAGCGGAATGTTTTAACAAGCCTGACTTCTCGAAGTCAACTTTCGTTAAAAGAAAATAAATAAAGAAGAGGTAGTTACCTGTTTGTAGGCACACTGTATTTTATCAAATAAAAAAAGTCGGCACACTACTAAATACCCGAGTATACAAAATACACTACACACGGTTACAAAACCATTAACAATTTAAAGCGTTTATTCAAATCTACCACCCGCATTTTTCCAACCGCATCTATCATACTATACCGTGCAGCGAACGTGCAGGACATCGACAAAATGATTTAAATGTGATAGAGGCTGTTTTAAATCTATTCGAGGAGCAGCCTACTATTTCCACAAGAACAATTTCAAGGCGACTGGAGATATCACAAACCAAAGTTTGGCGGATATTGCACGAGAATTCACTCAACCCGTACCATTTTCAAAAAGTTCAAGCTTTAGAACCAGCTGATTTCCCCAATGGTCTTGAATTTTACAGTAGGTTCCTAAATCGAAGTGCAGCAGACCCTAACTTTATTAAAACAAAGTGCGGTGGACGGATGAACGCTGTTTTACTCGTACTGGCATTTTAAACAGGTAAAAAACATATTACTTCCTCAAAAACAATAAGTACCTACCTAGGTTACACCAAAGTTTATATTTACACTAAAGTTTACATTTATTATGTAAACTTTAGTTATACGCAACTGCATATTGAATAATAAATTGAAATACTAAAACTGTGTATTATTTAACATAATAAATTATAAAACGTGAAAACGTTAATAATATTAAAAATGACAAATTGTAATAACCGTACATTCGAAAACAATCATCCCTATTCAACATTCAATTTGATAACACGATTTTCCTTTGATAAAAGGCCGACAACTTTTTGCTCTACTTTGCATGGAATACGATTAGTCTAGGAGCCAAATAGGGTTCCGTTTACTAGCTATAAAAATAAACTTTTTACAGCCATTTAAACATTTAATTTGTTGATAACAATTAAACTGACCGCTTTCAGGCTTTGCGACCAAGTTTTTTAGATTCAGTAGCTCAAAGTACTAAGAATAAGTTGTTTGCAGCTGTGGCACTCTGGTTGGCCATGGCACCCTATCTGGCTTCTAGACTATAGTGCACGTGCAAATCAAAAGTGGGTTAGATAGAAGGTCAGTGACCTAGACACAGGTTAACCTAGGTCGGAAACACGTACCGAGTTGTTTATTTGTTTCCGTCCGATTGTTTTTTTATCTTCTATTACTTACAGTCAATATTTAAATACTACATACATTTCTTAAAGTTAGGTATTTTAATTGGCGCTCATTTTTTAAACATATTTGGACCCCTTAACTATCGTATAGAATTGTTATAATAACAAAGTTATTTTTTAACAACTTTTGGAGAGAATTTAGAAGTTCGAAAAATGTTGACTTTATGAACAAATAGTGTGAAGCGGTTTTGTGGGTTAGAAAGTATATCAAAGTACTAAAAAACAGTTCTCAGAAAAGCGCTTAACTTTGATAAAAGACCGTGTAAGTTGCAAAAAATATGTCCTTGATGTTCATATACCACAATATGAGCATTAAGAATATATTTCTTTTTTAAGAAATCTATTTTTTGCCTGAAGCTTGGGTGTTAATTTTATTCATGTGAGTGTAGAATCTCACACATACTATGTTTATCAAATTATGTTTACACTAAAAAACCTTGTTTCCTTTCAGATCTGCTCAACCAAACATGCTAGTCACCATCGAAACAACTAAGAAAGCGTTATAACAGTCAAAAAGTAACTTCTCGCGTGATTCTACGAGAAAAATTCGCCATGTCTGAATCCACCCCAATCTGTCGGTGCCGCGTCCTCTACTTGGGATCGAGCGTGCCACAACAGACCAAGGACGGCCTCCAAGGTATCCAGGAGCCGCTGCAGGAACTGTACCCCGACCAGGGGGCCACTGGAGCTAGAGGCATAGATTCTTGGTTGAGTGTGTGGTCGAATGGGATCCTTCTCGAGAACGTCGACGAGAACCACAAAAAGATCACACGGTTTTTCCCCATAGAAAGTCTGCATTATTGTGCGGCAGTAAGGTAGGTCGATCTGTTATACTGTTTATAATTAATTTGTATTAGTTTAATGGGAATTTTAACCTCGGTTCACATGAGCAAGTGTGGAGGTTTTCTGAATTATTGAATTATTAGATAAAGGTAAAAGCTAACATTTCAACTTGACAGAAAGAATATCTGTTTCGGATACATACATTTCGGATTTTTTTTACTAATATAATGTTAAAAACTTGTTGAATAAGCTAATTTTAAGTAAAAAAGATCCGTATATTAGATAACAATGATGTGATAAAATTTAATGCCTCTGATGAAAATTATCAAAAAGGTAAAAAAATACCTAATATTACTGGAACGTCGTCGTTATTATTTCAGTTGTGTTAATTTGGACTATAGAATTAAATCATACACCTTGAAAACTTAAAAAAATTATTAGTAGACATTTTAATGCACTTTGTGACGCTGAAGGATATGTAGAACGGTAATATTAAAAAACTAGCTCAAAAGAAGTGACGCTGTGTTGCAAATAAATGTCAAAATTACTATCCATGAAAATTTAGATCACCTATCGCAAAATTAGTTATTTTATATTGTAGGTATTTAAATTTCCTACAATTTAAGGTACCCAAAGTCATATTTCACCAATTTATTAACTGTAGAATAAAGGTCGAACGCGGGAAAATCAATTTTCGAAAATTGCGCATTATTATTTCAAAAAACGAAGGATATTGATGAAATTTATGAAAAAGATGATCAGTCCAACGACCAACGTGTGTGGAAGGCTTCGATTGACTGTTGCTCTAGGTATTTGTTAATTAATTTAGTTAATTTTTTGCAACTAATTGTTTAATTACTAAACGTTAATTTTAGATGCTAATACCATATGCCGCAGACGAAAATTTTTAAAATTTTTCAAGGTCACGCTTTTTTCTGGCACTTCTGAATTTCAAGGAACAATCCATTTGTACAAAAATACAAATTTTCACATGAACGATTTTTGAAATTGATACCTTTTTGAAATATCTATTCACGAATTACTTACTGACGGTATAAATAAATTGGAATAAACTAAATATATTTTATTAAATTATTAACTATTGTTTATAAACAAAAAAATCGTTTACCAACAATTCAACGAATTTTAATTTTCCTCGCCATTATACGCGTTTTCTTTATCTCTTTTTATATATATATGTATGTACTGTTAGGGTATTGTTTCGACTGGGGCCGTTGTTTATAAAATAACGATAAGAAGTGAAGGCCAAGGCGCGAAAATTCGGACAGAAAGGCAGGGACACGGGAGAGAGAGAATGACCACAGACGACTGACGAGGTGTTGTGTTGAGATAATTTGGTCATTGTTGTATTGTTTTATTATAAAATAAAGTTATTTTGTGAAAAACTGTACATTNAAACAAAAAAATTGGTTATGAAGTTTACCAACAATTCAACGAATTTTAATTTTCCTTGCCGTGTTATGATTTTTTTTATCTTTTTTATATATATGTATGTACATATATTATATTCCGGGAGTTCTACGTGCAAATCCGAAATCCGGGACCATACAGCTAATTCCCGGTACAATCACAGAAAAACCCGGTCAAGTCCATGTGGCTAGATGTTCTTTTAATATGTCGTCAAGATATGCACTAAAATTTTTGAGTCCACGAAATACACCAGGGTTGTCCGATTTTTTTACCTGTTCATTGTGTTTCCGTATATTATCCCAATATGTAGAATCTAACTGACTTCTTATGTTTATTTTACCTAATGACTTAAATGACTTAAATCTTTCACACCGTATATTGTCCATGCTTTATCTCCACCGAAAAGTAAACACGAAAAACAAAACAGTGAATTTTTTATATCACACCCGCACACCCACTCTGCTTTTGTGTATACATTATTGTTAAATTATCTTTTATAACTTTTACTTCGGCTTGTTCCACTAACTTCAATCTTTAATTGTGGTGTTGGCCTACCTAATTTTTTTATATTTAGTTTCTCCTCATAAGGCAGAGGACCAAATAAAGTTTTTTGTAATTTTAATAACTATAATATCCGTAGACGCCTAAACGAAAATATTCACACGTGCCGCTCGCAGAAATAAACCACCACATACCACGTAGGAAATATTACTGCATTTACTGCAGCAGTGGCTGTCGTTGTTGCAGCCACATAAGCCCATATAAAAGTGTACTGGGTCACGTGCCTGATTAGCCAATAAAAACAAAGGATGCATCTAACTGTTCGCTGTGCACACGTTTTGTATATGAGGTTGCATATATTAAGGAGCGTAGCTCGCGTCGTAATAAATAATAATATAAGCTCCTAGATTTATTTTAGTGCGAGTATATTTGGATTCTTTAAATATTTTGTTGATATATGACTAAATACATAAAATTTTATGTGTTCTGCAACTCCGCAGCTCTTATGGTAAAACCGCCACTGATAAGTATAGGTTCCAACTGACTAAAAAAATGCGTCGAAATATAAAAATTTCAAAGAGTTGAAATTAAATTGCTCTGAACAACTAACAAGGTGTGCAAAACCGCGTTATAAATAAATTGTCTCAGGGTCAGGCAAAAGCCGCTCGGGAATTCGCTCTTTTTGCCTTAAATAGAGCTTAGGAGTTAAATAAATGAAATATTAGATAAAAAATATTACTTAGAGTTTGGTTCAAAGGCGACAAAAGTAATGATTATGATGTTGAAAATAAAGAACGCTCTGATGCAGCGAAACAGTTTGGATATGAAGAATTGGAGGCATTACTTCATAAAGACTCATCTCGGGCGCTAGCTCAGCTTCTAGAATCATTAGGAATTGGTCACACAAATTTCGAAACGTATGAAAGCATTAAGAATAAATCAAAAGCAAGGAAATTGGGTGCCGTACGAGTTGAAGCCGAAAGACGTCGAATAGCATCTTTGCAAATGTGAAGAGGTGCTTCAACGGCAGAAAAGGAAAGGTTTTTGTATCGTATCGTAACTGTCGATGAAAAATGGATACGTTACGATGATCCTAAGTGTAGAAAATTGTGGGGCATGCCCGGTCATACGTTAACATCGTCGGCAAAGCTGAATATCCCTAATTCCAAGCTTCTGTTCTGCTGAGTGTAGTTTATTATGAGCTACTCAAACCGAATGAAACCATCACAGGATATTATATCGACTACAATTGATGCGTTTGAGCCGAATATTGGGGAAAAACGGCTGTTATACAAGGGAAACACGACAAAGTGATTTTGCAGCATGACAACTCTCGACCACAGTTACCAGTGACCACAATACCGGTGAAAACTTACTTGGAGACGCTTAAATAGGAAGTCTTACCCTACACGCCATATTCACCAAACATTGCCCCTTCCGATTATCACTTGTTACGACCAGTGGTACATACATTGCTTGGTTGAGCAACACCTCCATTCTCATGAAGATGCCAAAAAATGAGTCGACTCTTGAATAGTCTCAAAGAACGTGTCGACGTGGAATGCTACCAGAAAGATGAGAAAAAATTGTGGCTAGCAATGGACAATACTTATAGTGACACGTTTTTTACATTTTTGTTTAAAAAAGCATTAATTTTCATGAAAAAACAGCGAGAACTTATTCAACAACCTATTACTTTTTAGAACTACGGCGTCTCTAATCCCTAGAATTTTTTAATTGTGATGCATCTATATTTCAAAAACAAAACGTTTGAGAACCTATATTCGCATAGAGTTTTGTTTCTTTGTTTTTGGGAGAATCACATTTAGAATGTTGTCGTTGGAATATCGCAATACCTGCTTGACATGAATGACATTTTTTATACTGATAAGAAATATAAGTAAAAAAGCACAAATTCTCTAGTCAGACAAGTTTTATACCACCATAATACAGGGTGTTATAAAAAAGTGTCAAATATTTCAGGAGGTAATAGTATGAACCAAAATAAGCAGAAAAGTCTCAATAAACATGGGTCCGCAAAGTAACGGTTGCGGAGATATGGACCACTATTCGTTTTTCAAACATTTTATTTTATTAGGAATAAACCGACAAAGGAAGCTTTTAACAAACAAAAAACAAAGTTACAGAAGATGTTCAAAGTGACCTCCGTCCATTTCCAAGCAGGCACGACATCTTCGTCTCAACGATATTCGAACTATTTCGAAAACACCCTCCTTGGTTTGGATTTCTTGACACTTTTGATTAATCCGTAGCTGCAGCTCTTCCAGGCTATTTACAGGAGTACCATACACTAATGTCTTCAAATATCACCAAACAAAGAAATCTAGAGGGTTCAGATCAGGCTATCTTGGAGGCCACAAAACAGGTCCGGCCCTTCCTACCCATCTATGTGGAAAAGTTTGGTGTAAATGCTCTCTAACGGCCATGGAAAAATAAGCTGGAGCACCATCATGCTGGAACCACATTTGTTGCCTATGATTCAAAGGAATGTCTTCCAAAAACTCATACAGTGTGTTCTGCAGAAAGTTGAGGTAAGCAGCGCCTGTTAATCGGTTTGGTAAAACAACAGGACCTAGAAACCTGTCACCTACAATACCCATTCAAATGTTTAATAAAAAACGTGCCTGATGTCCAGAGTCTATTAGAGCATGAGGATTTTCGTCGGCCCAAATATGCGTATTGTGAAAATTAAACACTCCATTTCTTGTAAACCCGGCCTCATCAGTAAAAAGAATGTTTGCAAGAAAACGAGGGTCTTCAGCATCATGACATAGAAACCAGCGGCAAAAAACCAAACGTGCTTGATGATCATTTATTGGATTTAAGGTCTGTACTCGTTGCACATGGTATGGATAAAGCAGTTGCTCGTGAAGGATTCTCCAAACAAGAGGACCACTAATTCCTACCTCGGCTGATATTCTCCGCACACTCGTACCTGGATTCTGCTCTACCAGTGCTAGAATTTCTTCTTCTGCTCTAGGAGTGGATACCGACCTTGGTCTTCCGGATAAATGGTACTGTTTGCTCAAGGAATCGGTATCACGCAATCTTTGGTGAATTCTTCCAAACATGCGTTGTG